TGTCACTTTCGCTACTCTTTTATTCTATGAGCACATAGATTGTTTTGCCATAGTGCATGACTAAAGTGATTTCATGGCTGTACTGCATCAGAATTATCTTCTCTAAATTGCCAGGTAAGAAACATTGACCTACGTACAAGCAGATTTCCTATCCCTCTTTTCTTTCCCCTTCACCATCTCTAATGATTCCCTACTTTGCTGTCAGCCACCACCAAATGTCGAAGCAATTTCAAGATGTGAGGGAAAACATTGCAATTTCCTAGGTTTTAATATTCTAAGACTCCCCGCATGAACCTGTTTTTTTCCATTTTCCACAGTCTCTTCTGGCCTCCCTGAACTTATATATTGCATTGTTTTTTAGTAGATATCTACCTTAATTCTGATAAAAGGCTTGGATAAATGTGGTCTAGCTCTGATAACTTACAGACTCTTTACAGCTTTTTTAGCCTGTTAAAGCAATGCTAATAAATCTTGTTTCTTTCTTTTTTTATTTTTTTCTTTTCTTCTGTTTATCTTCTGAGACAAACTCTGAGTCTTTGCTTTACTGAATTTATTCTTCACTTTGTTTCCAGACTTTCTTTCCTAAAAGTTTATCCTGATTGCTTTTTGAACATTGGTTCAAAATAAAGAGGAAGAAATAAAACCAGTGTTAGGCTCTTAAACATTTGTTTAGAAATGAAATGTGAGCTTTGAGGTTTAGGCAGTCTGCACAGCACAGTCCTACAGGGTCATGGTGGGACAACAGCAAGGATGCTTTCTGCAGCAAGAGGCTCCTCATGACCAGGCTGCCCCTTCAGCTGTGTCAAGAAGCAACCGGGAAGCAAGTTTCCCTGCTGAGCTGGTGACAGATGTTCTGCATGGCTTATGCCATCAGTAACCATTGACTGGGAACAATTTTATAGTTAAGACTGCAGCTAGCTATCCCAGAAGAATTTCATTTGACATGCATGTCCTCTTTTACCTACTGTATCTGCCTGTTTGCCAAGTGAGAACTACCTATATGGGACTCAGATGTACAAAGGAGAGAAGAGTTTTTACTCATCCCTTTAGAGTATTACTAGAGGTATAAGAGGTATTACTTCCTTGATAAAGGCTTTGGGAAATATTTTTGAATAAAGAAGGGGTCTAAGAGCAAGAAGATAGTAAGAGACAAGATGGGAGAAGTAAATATTGCATGAAATATAGCTGCTTTTGCTTTTTTTTTCCTATTGTTATGAGAGGATAGGCTCTTGTTTATATATACATACATCAATAGTATTTCTTTTATCTTTTCAGCACCAGTTACCTGCTGTGAAATGTTTGCTTTGGACTGCAGGAGAATTCGCTCAGTAAATATGGGCCAGAAGACAGTCATTAGTGGAGTACTGCCAGTGAATACCCAGATGAGGGGTCTGCCTTGCACAGAGCAGGCTCAACGAGACCTGGAGCTCAGACACCCACACTGCAAGGCCAACACCACTGAAGGGACAAAATCTCTTCCTGAAGGAGGACCATGTCCAAAACTCTAAGTAACCTACTTGTAGTCCAGCAGCTGACTTATTTCAGATGCAGACCATTTCTCTTGTGACAGGTGATCTATGCAAGCAAGTACCAACAATTGTCACAGGACAAGTGATGGATGACTCCACGCCTGCTGTCCAAATTCCCATTTTAGCCCACAGCTTCGTTCAGAGCGGTGCTGTAAATCTGCACAGCTGCAGAGGAGCCTAGGTAGAAAACTTAAAGAAGCTAAAAGGTTTGGCCAATTAGTCTTTAAATAAGCCTTCAAAGGCTGGAAAAAGGGTTGGGTGAGACATTAATTTGAAGCAGTTTGATCTATACATATACACATTGCTGACAGGAAGAAGACAGCAGAGAACTAATAGAAAGGAAAAAATACTAAGCTGAACTGTGGGAAAGGAAACAAGGGTAAAAATGGTTTTAATGCAATAAGATCTATCATGCAGAGTTGAAAAGTCAGACTGTGAAAAGCCAATTAGTGCACTGAATATGAAAAGCACAGGAATTAAATATAGGGAGGATCATCAAAGTGAGCTGAAATATAGATGTTCCCAGCATGCAGACATAAAGGAACATCAGTTGAGTACATAAGGAAATGTTTTTATAAAGAAACGAAATGTACTGACAATTCAATAAAAACAAGCCCATATTCTGTAACAAACTGGGGGGGAGAGGAGAGTTCTGCAAATTATTACTGAAAAGTATCACCAAACATATCTGTAATTTTTCAAGAGGAAGAGAGATAATACAATAGCAAGTTAACATGCAAATGATAGACTGTGAAATGAACGAATAAAAACTAAATTTCTATATGTCTAACACCAACAAGGCACCTTAAAGTTTATTATGTCCTGTGCCGTAAATATCATAACCTAAAAGAACACATCAATAAAGGAAATAGGTTTTTATTTAATATCTTCCTGTTATTGATGTGTTAATGAGCAAACAGTTGAACTCTAGTGTAGTTACTAGAACAAAAAATAAGGACCAGCATCAGTATTCATCTTTTAAATGATCAATAAATGTCTTGAAAATAGTCTCTGATTAAAGAACTGTGTGCTTATTGTGGTCTGAACACATTGAGAAATGCTTTAATATAAATATTGAATTCATGAGTGATTATTCAGTGTTTAGAATCATCAGCTGCTGACATTTACTCAAAGAGGGTCCAACAGGTTCTTTGGTGTCTTCTCTTGCAAAAGGATAAAGGAAAATTGTAGGCAGCATGGGATGTTTTCAAAATATTACAACTGAAAACAAAATATTGCTTGAGTTTCTGAAATGATTTGCAAATTTATGCTTAAAATCTCCATATATCATCAGAAAATACATTGGCAAATATTTACATTGAGCTGTGAGAGCCTTGAATTAAGCAGTACAGGTGCTTCCTGCAGGGAGGTTTGGCATCCACAAGCAGCACTGCCAGCGAGGGCCAGGCCGGCAGCAGCTCTGGCTGCACCTCTGCTCCCAACAGGACCGCACGCACTGACCTCCACGAGCAGCACGGCATATGGCAACCAGGAGTTGTGTCGGTCTGTTAGGTAATCTTTGTGGTGTAACAGCCTTCCAGGGGACAGTCATAAAAGATATCTGAATTGACAGAACGGACAAAAACCTTTGTGCATGAATTTGCAATTAGTGCTCCAAGCTTACCTATGACTCCATCTGCTGAAATCTTTGTGGAACAATTATGCAAAGGAATTGTCCAAGTATTCAGAGCAGAGAAGCTTGTAATAAATAAATAAGCTACTAACGACACCTTTTTTTCATTATTTTTTTTTCTCTCCTCTCTTCTCTCCACTGGTGCATTTTACTCTTCAATGGTTCAGAGACTTTTTCATGTAATATATGTTGGCAATGTACTTTCTAGCCTTGGGGAAATTATTTCTGTGTTTTGAATAGCTTAAAGCTGCAATTGAAATTGGTGTGTTTAATATGTGAGAAGTACCTGAAAAGTAGAAATTATGGTAGGATGCTCAATCCTTTCTCATTCTGCTTGATATCAACCTCAAACTTTTTCCCCATGCTTAAAAAAAAATAAGTCATTTAACACAAGCACCTCATATTTCTTGAAGCAGTTTGTACCTCAAGCATTAGAGTCAAGTAGCTTGACTCTAATGTAGTCAAGATCTGGGATTCTTGTTGAGCTTAAGTTCATATTTTACTTTAGCCATTACGTCAAAAAGTTCTGCAGTGCATGTGGAAAGTGTGATATGCCTGTCCTTCAGATGAGGATTTGTTCCTTCAAAGAATAAAATTTCTACAGTTAGATGCTAGCTTTGCAGTGTTTATTCACAGTCCTGTAAATACTAAATAGCGATGAAACCTAAGCACACAATCTTTGGGGATGTAAATGCTATCAGAGAGGTTTTGCTCAAGCTTTTAAATTAAGACTGGTTTATGTGGCTAAAGTTTACTATACGTAGCATCTTCCTTCCAAGGCATTACTCTCTAAAAAATTAATTTTCAGTTTTATAATTTGTTTTATATCATTTGTATAATGAAAATAAAAACTTTTTTGGAAGCAAAAGCTATCCTTAAACTTCCAGCTGTAATTCTATAAAAATAAAACCAGTCTTAGTACTGTCTGCAATTACAGGACCAATTATGCTATTAACTTGAACCAAGTATAGAAATAACTTCTCCCAAACTTCTGTTATTAAAGCTGCCAGCACTACTGAAGATAGAATAGTTTCCATAACAAGAAATCAAGAGAAATCAAGAAATATGCCAGCAGCTTTCTATGCTATTAGGCAGCAGTTAAAATATCAGGTGGCAAGACTCTTCTTATTAGTAAGAACAAGCAATTAAGTGACAACTACCACCAGGAAAGAAATAATAAAAAAATAAAAACCAACATACTTTGAGTCATAGACATCTCAGCAAAGCTGAAACAGCAGAAGTTCTCAATCATCATGCAGCTGTCCATCACTTTATAACAGCATCAGAAGTAAGGCAGCCTACAGGATGTCTGTTTGTCCCTACATTGGCCATTTCAAACCAAGACACATCCTCTAAATGTTGCTACATCCTGGTAACACCTCAGTCTGTGTCTAATGATCTCCAGAAGACATTGTTTCTAATCTGGAACTGACTTGAAAGAGGTGAGTACAACTGCATACACAGTCCCAGGTATCTCAGAGCCAGTTTTAGTGAAGCTCTCCATTTCAGATGTCCATTGCTGCTGACTGGCAATGGCCAACTTCTCAGGAGCCACTCCAGAGCTGAGGAACCTGGCCCCACTCTGTGGGGTGCACTGACCCCATTGAGCATCCTTGTCCCAACACTTCCTGACAAGCAGAAATCACCTAAAGCTACTCTAACCAGAGCAATTGTATTTCTTGCTGATCTATCCTCACTCTGATGCATCAGAAATGTTTTTTAAATCCTGGCTGAAAGCTAAAATTGCATCATGAAATACGAGAGAGCTGGCAAGGCATGGTGTGTTGTTCAGCACAACGAACTGGAGGATCGTAATGTGCTGGGTGGTTTAGTTCCAAATGAAAGCAATTCCATGAAGACTCCTTGGACATGTTAATTCTAGCTTTGAGCTAAAAAGACATAAGCTGCAGGTTAATAATGGATATAACCTGAATGGATAAGCAGTGCTTACAGGATGAGCCCTTCTGCAGTTTCACTTTCAAAGTACACTGATGATGCTTGGAGTTGTGCGAGGGTCAACTTTGTCTGGCTGAGAACTGCCATCCTTGTGCTACCAAACCATTGCTGAAACCTCAAATGTTTGGCTTTGCAACTTCTCAAGGGTTCTTCTAAAGCTGTTGATTAAAGACAGCATTTAAATTCCTCCCCATATGTCTGTCAGTGTGTAAAAATGATACATTTCAAAAATTTCCTATTATTCTGTGACTCTCATTAGCCCATTAAAACCCAACACTACTGATAAACTTATTGTTGGGATATTTTAAATTTTCTAAGCAAAATTAGATACATAATGTGTATGTGTATGTATATATGTACATATATATAAGTACACACGTATAATGCATCAGATGTTTCTGGGAAGGAATAAATTCTCTGTCCTCCTGGAAGTCTATTTTCCTGACTGAATTTTCAGACAGCACTATTTTATTTTTTTCTAAACTCAATATTAAACTCCCTATATTTTACAGAGCAAATAAAAATCCTACCAGATGGCTAGCCAAGGCTATTACAGACTGTCATTACTTTCCACACCCACCTGTCCCTCCAGATTAGGAAATATGACTGAAGAGTTGGTTTTCCTCACACGCTCTTTCATTGCAGTGCTGCCAGTGAGCAGATGATGCCTCTCAGTACTCCTCTGCTCCCCCTGAGCACTCTGCTCCTGTTCAGTACCCTTGCCTTGCTCTCCTTTCTCTTTTCTAGGAGAAGAAAAAACTAAATTACAAAGTATATCTGCTTAGAGCAAAATGAGAGCCGATTGAGAGTGTAATATTTCACGGTATGACTAAGATTGGGATATGACAGAACTTGAAGAAAAAAATCAGATTTGTGCCCAAAAATAGATGCATGCCAGAGCTATCATGCTTCTGCAGCCAACTAGAGGTTTCATATGATCTGATTTATACTGTGTAGCATTCATTTGCAAAATGGACACATAGGCAGTTGTAACCAGTCTCTCAGTAACCTTGCCCAGTTTCTCATAAACCAGCCATTTGCTTCCTCATTCCCAGCTCCTGCCCTCCCTACACCTATTGCTTTGCAGGATGTTGAAGCAGAGCAGCACGCACACATCCAGGACATGGAGAAAAGTCCCTAGTATTCTGCATAGGATCACCAGACACATTGCATATGGATGGGACACTCCATGTCCTGAGTGGCATCTCACTTGACTCCCAGTTTTGCCTCCCAAGGTGATCAGCAAATTGAGCTGCATCCAGCCCTTTGGTCAGCTAATTGGTGTTAATGTGGAGTATGTGCAATTACCCTAAGGCAAATGGCAGATGATTTGAGTTAGCATGTGTTAGCCATCAATAAAAGAAATTGATTTCAAATCATGTCATATTTGTTAGGGCTATGTTCCTGGGCAGCTATTACGGATGCTGTCACCTTCTAACTCATCTTTCATAAGAGTTTAGGGGCTTTCTTCACCCGGCCTGTTTTTCTTATTTGCCCAGATGTATACATAAAATATAATTTAGACCTCCTTTTGCAAAGTACTCTAAATGCTATTCATTAATTTTAGCATGCACAGCTGGGCTGTAAGCCCTGGGAGTGTTATAACTGCTTTAACTTAAATCTTGCTCCACGGAACACAGCTGAGTGCTAACAAACATCACCTGAGCAGCAAACATCAATTCAGCAGAGTCTTTAAGGAAGAATTTGGAGGAATATTTTGCACACATGAGCAATAAAGGGAGTTCCAACACACATGGTTATTGAGCATCTATCAGACTTTGAGGGTGTTTGGATTCGCTGGACAGGATGGGGCTTCCTGCAGTGCTTGGGGAGATGCGCCCAACGTGTATTTATTTGTAAATTCAGATAATGGGTTCTACCCTTGAATTTACCACATCACTATGTAGAGATGGTGAAGGACAAGGCCCTTAAATTTTCTAAATGAATTATTTCATTATGTAATTATAGCAGCCCTGAAGCGACTCTGAAAGCCGTTGTAGTCACATGGGAACTGTTTCGCTTAGGGAAAAGGCAAAGGCAGCTGCTAGTAAGGAAAAAAAAAAAAAAAAGTGTTTTAAAGACCTCAGATGTGTTTATGGGTGATGAATAATTACAGTAATTTCAAATATTTGTTGTGTTTTTGTCTATATTACAACACTTTTCCAGCTGTTAAGTTCATAAAAATGGAGGGTGAATGACCTCAGATTTGGCCTAATTTTTTTTAAGAACTTTCTTGGATCCAAAGAAACGCAACAGTGTATTTAAATGCAACTTACTTCACAGTAATTAATCTGTTTTTTTCACTTTTCACTGTGTTGCCCATTTTTCTGTGCATTTGCATGCTACCACAAATGCAGGGTGATCACAGGAGCATGGGGGAGCAGCACAGGTACAGGTTACAGAATGGGCATTCAGCACGTACAGCATTTCTATAAACTTTTTGTGGATTCTGGCTACACAGTCTGGTTGTAATTAACCATTATTTTTTATTTTATTTGTTTTGTTTGTTTGGGTGAGTTTTTTGTTTGTTTGTTTGTGTCATTGACATCGCTTTGTTAACTGTCCCAGCCAGTCAAGAGAGCAGAGCTACTGAAACATCTGTTGTATAAACACCGACTCCTGTCCAACCTACAGATCAATCACTGATAATTTTTTGTTTTGATTGATTAAATAAAATTTTCTTGACATAACAACTAATCGCTGCAGGATATACTACAGATACATTTGCTTGGTGACAATGCCTTGTGTCTGGTTACGTTTTGTGACCTGTACTCACACTTTAGCATGCTGCTTCAGGTCACAAGCTGAATGAGTCAGGCTGTGAGGCTGTCTGTGCATGCAGCAGCTTCAGGATCATGGCCAGAAGCTCTCGGTCTTCGTTAGGAGACCAGCAGGTGAGGTACAGTGAGCCTCACTGCATGGCTGCTTTGGCAGCATTTGTGTTCTGCAGCCAGCATGTGTGATTAGGAGATGTCAGCTGGGTAACCAGCTTAAATGTGAAATGCATGCAATGCCAGAATTAAAAGGACTATTCCTCCTCTCCCCTCCAACTTAGTTTCTGCATTCCAAACCACTGCTACATGTATACCTTTAAATCAGGGTTACAACAAGTACCTTTCATTTGTGGTTTTTACCTCAACTATGATCTGTCTGGGCTTGATCATGTTCAGTGGTGATGAATCATAAGCAGTAAAGAACATGGCTTAACTTTCATTGCAAGTATGCCATTTGCATCCAAAGTACTAAGGCACAAGACATTATTTTTTGTTTATGAACTGAGCAGATTCATCTGTGAAGAGAGTAAAGTGATAAATAAATACACCATTTCACATTGCCACTCCTAGAGTGACTTTTCAGAACAGAACCATATTTATCTTGAAAGTATGTCTGCCAAGTAATAAATGTGAAACAATATAATTTTATTTATAGCTGATTAGCTTTTGCTTACTATGGCTAGCTAGCTTAGAGAGTGCCTAGGAGCCAACAACCTGGTCTGGCATTCATCAAGCCCACAGGATGCATTGTCATTGACTTTAACAGGGTAAAAATGGTCCCTTGAAAGCCCTTTGTTTTAAAACTTTAAATTGTGCTTTTTTATTCCTTTTCTATCAAAAAGATTTCTTACTTACACATTTCTGTGAACCCAAAAGTCTTAAGAACAATCATAATGGAGCTAATGCCAGCTGAGTTTAGCGACAGGCATGGCACGAAAGCAATTAAAACCTTGAAGTCTTGAGCAGTTGAGAGAAATGTCTGACTGCCTTTCATGTTCAGAAGGTCACAAAAGTGAATTTGAAGCTGGTATGATAGAACTGAATGGCTTCTAAGTAAGAACCTGACACAGAGTTAGTGGAGTTTGACAGTAAGTGTCAAATAATTTCTGGAGAGCTAGAAATACTCACTCCTAGTTATTTATGAAGAAAAATATCATAAGAATATGGAAGAGCCTTTTCAAAGTTAGACAGAGGAATAAGCTTTAATATTTTACGTTTATCCATCCAGTAAATACCAAGCAACTTCTAGTGTGGATTTTCTAACCCAGCAGAAGAGGCCAACCCTAGCTCAGTGGAAGATAAAGTGAGTCGAAGAAAATGCTTTTGATAGTAGTAGTGACCTTTGAAGCTCTAAGGATGCTGAATAAGATAACATCAGCTTTTAGAAACTATTTGAATTCAAAGAAAGTGCTGTTATACAAAACCAAGAATTGGCACTACCATTTTTCTATCTTACCCAACCAGGCAATTTAAAGCTGCTATTGCTGTAAAGGGAGCCTTACGCCATAAAATCATAAAGCAGTATTCACAGTCTCCCACTAAGGGGGAGGAGGATGGGACATCATGAAAAAACAACCATGGTAACAGAAGAAACTGTAATCAAGAAGACTTTACACAGGCTGCACCTAATTCTGTGCCATCATCAACCGTGAAAGGCCAATAACTGAAGAAGGCTGAAACTTGCAGGGTCTTCCACTCTTCTGTCACCAGTATGCAAGTTTCTCTTTTCTTGTTCCGTTAGTCTAGTAGCCAGGAAAAAGTGAGATGATAGTGATGTGTCCCATGATAGAAGAATGCAATAAAAACCAGTGTAGGCAAGGAAGGGTGGTATCTTTTAAATCATACAAACAAAACAAAAAGTCAATAAGAGGACTCAAGATGCCATTTAGCCCATGCCCTACTTCACATCAGGGATGTGCTTAATCTATCTTCACTTACATCAGTGGAAAGGATCCTTTAATGTCTTCTATGCTTCATCCGTGTCACTCAAGAAACCTCAGAAGAAACAACTGGTTCAATACCTTTCTTCAAAATGAGCAGTTGCACCGATTCTCCTATTAGTTATATATATATTGGTAAACTCTATTAATGATCCTGTAGGTTTAATCCTTGTATTATCTAATAATTTAGCAGAGATGTTCTGATTAAGTTTAATCACTATTTGTGTTCCCTTGGCTGATTTTTTTTTTTATTATTCTAAATTAAGTAGTACCTAATAACAGCCTCCCTTTTTCTGTCAGTATCCTACAGATCTTAAAGAAGTTCTCCTCAGTACCAAATTACTTTTCTCCATACTAGTGTGAACTAAATGTGGCCTGACACTGAAAAGATTCAAAGACCAAGAATCAAAAATCTCACAGCAAATGCTGAAGAGTACCTTTCTCCTTACCATTGTTAGATTTTTATCCTATGATTCATTTATGTCTGCAAATTGCACAATTTGTATATGCTTACCTTTTGAAGTGAGGTGCACAATGTACACACATCCCTCACAGTCATGGCCTTGATGTCCCAAGTCACTATTAATGAAAGCACAGAAAGAGCAGCTCTGCAAAAGATGTTCCCATGGGCAGATTTGAGGGAAGACAAAGCGGTATGTTCAGAGATGTGGGGGGTGCTTCTTTCAGTTGTGGGAATTACTCTTATTCCCCTACTCCTCCACAGCCCTCTGGAGATTCCTTCTCCTGAGCTAAGGGCCACCTGAGCCCTAAGCTGGCAGTAGAAGCAGCGTGATAGGCAAAGGTAAATGAATAGAATGAAAGACCAAAGTCTGTGGGGAATACCATCACAATATCCCACTGGGAGATTTGAGTCGAATTAGGAATTATAAATGTCATTATTTCCAAATTGCAAAGAAATACATGGCCTTTATTTTTACAGTTGTCTTCTGCTTTAGCAATAGGACTTTAATTGGGTTTTATTCATTTTATTATTATTAGATGTACCTGGTTTTGACTTAATGATATATTTACATATTCATGGTTGGACTTGATGATCTTAGAGGTCTTTTCAAACCTAAATGATTCCATGATTCTATAAAAGCATTTTGTTTTTAGTTTTGGTCAGTTGTCTTGGTAGAGAAAACGCATCATACCATAGCAGTGACAGCAAGCAAAACTAAAGTTCTTATAGGCAGTTCTTTGTGTGTGATTTGAATAACAATAGAAGTTGGAATTTTGACTGATTTCCCTGGGGGAAAAAAAAAAAATCTTAATTACTTGGAAATATAACTGTGATTTGCTTTGGAACTATGCACTGATATAACTGTACAAAAATAATGTTTTGTTTTTAAATAAATAAGTAAATAAAACTTTAGAGGGGAAACAGAGCAGAAAATACTATCTTTTTCAAGATAAATTCATTACAGTCAGCATTTAGGAATTGGACGTCTAAACACTTTTGCTATAGTGATATATATCGATGTTTGTTTGCTCTTTGTATCGATTTTTGTCCTTTTT